CTCGTACTCCCCTATCAAGCTACAACATCCCGACCCGAAAGCCCATCACGCCCGCCCGCCCACCAATGGAGACCGTGCCTGATGCTCGTATTGTTTCGTTATACAGCAAAATGATGACTAGGACATTTTCGCGTTAGAGAGGGCACCTTAACTATATTAATAAGCTCCCATGAAGGCTTTTTTCTGGTTCACTAATCCTGAGAAGTCCACAACCCCTCCCCCCATTGAGGATTAATAATATTAATATGGAGGAGCTGCTGAATTTAATTTTTTTTCTGAAGATTCATGGTCCTCTAAGAGGCAGGGGAGTTGTGATACTCTCCCATTGACGAATTTTTTCAACATGATCTACAGTCGTTATCACTAAAGTCAGACGGGGCATGTCAGAGACACGTGGGTTTTGTCGCGGCACCAGCCCCTTCTACACCATTCAGAGGGCACGCGAAGCCACATTGATAGGTGGAAGGTTTACTGACGCACTCAAAACCCACGCTCCGCTGACACGCCCCGACTGACTTCAGTGATAGCCACGTTTCATATACACCTTGAACTTTTTTCGAAGGGTTTTTTTGACCCTCTGAAGACTAAGCTCTGCATGGAAACCTTCCATAAGATAAGAGGATGACCATGACTTTCACAGTAAACGCCGCTTTTGGCGCTTGATATGCTTACATGTCGTCGGTAGGAGGACGAGGAACATTGGCGCAACGAGGTGAAGCCATCTGGCACGTGCAAACGTTCGCTAGAGCGTTCTTCGTGATGTCGTGAGAGAGGAACTGAAAAAAAACAAGTCGTTAGTCTCTGAACAAAGAGCGGCCTGTTATTTGCCGATTGCTAGCTTTGATTTTTAAAAGCGGATTCCAAACGTACTTGTCCAAACTGCATCAGCATACTGTTCGCCGGACTGTCAATGGCATGCGTCGTCGACAGGAGGAACATCGACACTTCACGAGGATTTGGTCGTCGTCGAGTCATGAAACCTCAATGAACAGCACTTTTGGATGGTTTAACTTGAGTTATTCTGCTGTTTTATGATCGCTTGCCATTATGCCTCCCTTACTGGCTAACCGCTTCTCCTTACGTGCAGACTGATCCTTGCAAACGATAGTGCGTGTGAAGGGGCATTAACTGCACTGCTGCCAAGGCGGTCGTTCCCGATCGCCTGCACGAACCGTGACTATACTTGCAATGGTGAACCCAATGGTCGAGTGGGCCATACGAATATGAAGTGTGCGACATATAGAATCAGGTTCTTCTGACAGTGGCTCAGAACCTGCTAGGATCACGGGTTATAGCTATTTTTCTCGCGTCTTAGGCGTGGGGCATCGAATCCTTAGCACGGAGAGCACATATTTTTTTGCTTCTGGAAGGGAACCAACGGCAAAGAAGAGGTTTACAGAGAAGCTGCTATCATTTAAGGCGTGCCAGGGATCCAATCTAAAACATAAAACTGAGGGTACTGCGTACGCTCGGGAGCCTAATCATCCGCGAAGGAGACATGGGTACGTACAGAGGCTGCTTCTAAGTGCAGGCTACAAGGTCTCAGGCAGCGTTCAGACTTCGCGACGGCAGCGCTTCGGTCGCGCGTTCGACGCGATCAATGCAGTCGAAAGCATGCGCATCGATCGCGTCGAACGCGCGACCGAAAGCGCTGCCGTCGCGAAGTCCTGAAGATCTGCGGCCTTTGCTAAGCGTGTCAAAGAGCTCAAATCGCTTGCGAGGTATGAATTTTCGACCTGGTGCGCATCTTAGGAAGAGAATAGGGGAGCATCATAGAGGAAAGCACAATGGAAGGAGCAACCGAGCTCTAGCGAATCTAATTGTTAGGACCCCACATGGGTTAAAGAGGGAATGTTCCGTACGACTCACTTACGGCTTCGTCCAGCTGCGAAGCGAACCGATCCGCAGCTGCAATAGGCGTGCCTGTTTCGCTAGTCCTGAAATGCGCGGCAAAGGGCGCTTTGCAGGTTAGTGGTACCCAAAAGCCGTTTGGGACCCCGCCTACACTACTTAAGCTGTTGCACTTGTAATTGTGTCGATACCAAAAACCCTTGGCGAACCTTCAGTTAAAGAGAACAGCCAAGGTGCACGCATCTAGAACGCTCGGTTATGGTTAGACGAGTGGGGGGGGGCGGCACCGGGGATGAGAGACAGACAGGGAGGATATCAGCCACCGCCAGCGCACGTTTCGTACAATTTCAATCGAGAAAGTGGCACCTACTCAGCTGGCGAACACATCCACTTGCAAAACGACAGGACTGACAGAAGTGGATTACACTGTGTGTCTGCAGAGAAATCACAAAAAGTCTCATATAATAGCTCAGGGGGGCTGTATAGAATAAAATGGGAAAAACCGCTGTCCGCACGAGTATGCTAGCACTAACACTAAAATGAAGAACAAAAAATTATTTTGACAAGCAGTAATGTAGTAGTACCAGCCAGACTGTTGATCCCATCATCGTAAGCACTTGGTAGTAGACGAATGAAAGGCGAGAATGCTGCTCCCTGTAACACAGCTATTCATTAGCACAGCTTGTAAACGAGCTGAAAGCAGCGTGGAGAAACAATACGCACCACAATAGGGTTACCAAGATTATTGCAGGTGCCGTCGATACTCCTGAATTTCTTATGAAAGCACTCGTTGTTGCTGCAACTGGCTGGAATCTGTAACTATGCAGCGATCCTTCCGTAGTGGTTGCTGAGAATAATGGTATCATTCAGCCGATTCTCTATGAAAAAAAGTATCACCTGCACTTCTGCACATCCCATTTGTTGCTGCCTGCCTCGCATTTGAAGAACGGAAAATACCTGTCGCGTTTCAACTGAAATCTCTTTTAATGTCTCTTTTCCAGTCAGCGTTAGCTGTGCCTTTATTCCATAAAGGCTCATTCCAAGCTGATCATGTGGGCGGTATCCGGTCTCTTATGATGCTTTTCTCATGGGTCAGTCGTCTCGATTTTTCATGGACCATCAGTGACAAAAGCACAGTGGCAGACCTGGGTCCGCCCACATGACCAGCGTGGACTATGCCTTCGAGTCACCTTCGACTGCCATAACACGGCTGCATTTGTCCTGTTGAATAGTGGATGTGTTCCGTGGACTTTGAGATGGTTGAGGAGCTGAAAATTCGAAGCCAAGAAGAAAGTGATCTAGAGAAAGTACCTGATATTCATAAGTTTTACTACTCATATTGAGATGTTTAATTATTATAAATAAGTTCTCATTATTGAAAAATGACCTGAAATATTATTTGAACAAGTTCTAATTGGATTGTGTTCAGTCACTTTGTGTTTCTGAACTCAAATATCGGCGATTCGGTAATGGTTTGAAGGAGAACACGGCTGTTCTCACTGGTAAGGCTGTTATCTCAGTAGCAATCAGATTACCCTAGAGCTTGAAGAACTTCGATGTGAGGGGGCTTTCTATTTGGGCGGCGTAGGTGGCAGGGTTGCAACTCGTTGTTCAAAATCTAGTAGAGGTCGTAACTGACCACTAGAGAGAGGGAGCATTTGGGATCACACTGTAAGAAGTGACTGAGCTACTTGTCCCACTCCGAATAGAGAGGTAATAAGTCAAGTTCGAGTGAATTAATGCTGTCTAAGGCGAAAGGCGATGACAGATGGAGTCTCCGCGTCACAGAATGGCTCCCAAGGAACGCAAAACGGCCTCTGGGACGACCACCAACGCGTTGGTCCGACTCGTTTTTGAAATATTTCAGAGAACGCGGTCCACCACATTGGATGCAAGTCGCCAGAAATCGTGCGTTATGGAAGAGCTGTGGTCCCCACTGAAGATCAAGCCAGTGAAGGACCATCAAAGTATCAAAGTAAAGTAAGGTAAGGCGAAGGACGGCAAAATTGTTTGGCGCGATTAGCGGCAGGCCATCATAGTTTTTCGAGTCACTTTTGCGGACTGAGGATGTCGTCATTGGTGGGCAAAAACGCCCTGGCAGCTCTCCAATCCACGCCGTGTCACACGCCCTATTGTGTGCAGAGATTATTGGCGTTCAGGTTGCGCTCTAAGCCATGGCCCGTCCTACACCCTTCCACCCCTGCAGGGATTATGCTGTATGTTACTGTCAAATCACTGCTACCATTTATCAATCTTTGGCTTCAGCTAAAACTGGAAAATGTTGGATTCTTGTCAAACCCCACAAGCGCAGCAGATAGAACTCAGCAGATCATACACACTGAGGTACTTCTTTCTAACGAAAAAAATCATCGGTGCCATATAAAAGAACGGAATAATTGAAAGAAAACGTACGAAGTGTTTGTGTAGCAACGTTCGTTCGCTTGCAGACTCGACATGAGAGCTTGCAGTTGACCAACATCCATGCCGGATTCTTCAGGCATTCGTTGTGCTGGGACCAAAACGCACAGAAGCGATTGGTATCGCAGCAATTGCTGTCACTTGCGGCGCATCGGCGAAACGGTTGCTGCTGCTGCTGCTGCTGCTGAGCAGACGCTGCAAAAATGCTGAGCAGTTTCCACAACGTGCTATTCCAACGATAAAGAAACTCGATATCAAGGGAGTGGTAGGCAAAATTTCCTGGAATCGAAACTGGAAACCTTTGAAACGTGCACAGGCGTCACAGAGCTCAACTCTTTAGTTAAGCCCAATTTTTATTTCTCTTGGCAACTATGTCACAAGCTGATGCTCATATCTGTTGTTCCTGTTGATCTCCTAAGGTTCGTTTCCCGAAAAATCTCATGGTCAAACCTAGTGAAACGTGAGAGGCACTTTTTGTGAGAGGACGGGGACTGTGCTCTACGACGCGCGGAAAGTTCTGAATGGGCGCTGGTTTTACCTATTGTCCTGCTATTTCGGTTGGAGAAGGGTATAGATGATACTGCCGCAATGTCTGGGCGGTGTCAGGAGGCGTGCCATGATCCTATTCGCAGCAGCGTGTTCCACCGCCGCGTTAGGTAGAAAACAGTCAATGGTAGAAAGTGCCACGGGTGGACTCGCTCCATGCTTCCTGACCCTGCCCCTACGAATTGCGTGGAGATCAACTGCATGCGTTGCACGATTGGACTCAGAGCCTAACCCGCGTTGAGTAAGCGGTTACTCACCCAACAATTAGTGGGTGGGGACGTAGACGCCAGAAAGGGGTGTAAGAAACCACGAAATCGTGACTTCTCCGAAGGCTTATCCAGTAAAAGTGCATGTTGAAATGATAATGGTGCTGAGGAAAATGATTACGGGGCATTTGGGTGGGCTGTGCTCTAAAATAGGCGTTGCTTTGGACAAAATTCGTAATTTGGATCCACATCATATTAGGGAATCACAAAAACAGCAATAACAAGGCCAGTGGAGAACTGGGACATGACTGCACTGAAGAACAGGGAATAGGGAAACGATGATCAAGGATGCTAACCAAAAGGACAGGTATCAGTCTTCTTTGAGGCGAACAGTTTCCCATAACCTACCACTTTACCTGTAGAAATTGAAGCCTGAAGCCAGATTTTCGGATCGGGACAACCATGGCCCCTTTTTTCATTAGTGCGTTTCTCCTTTGTAAAACGGAATATGGGGGAGGGGCATCAGTGAGCAAGGGAGGCCCCCGCACTGCCGTAGGAGCACTCACATTGCCATATCGAGAATGTATCTTGGGGTGCAAAATCCGGCAGAGGTTTAGGCTGTTAGGACGCTGTTAGGACGCTCGTCCCATGAAGCTGTTAGGACGCTTCATGGGACGAGCGTCCTAACAGCGCATAACACAGTGATCGCAGCTGCCCTATCGTACTTCTCCTTATGAGAGCCCGTCCTGATCAACCGGGCCTAGTAGTTCTACGATATTCAATGAACCGCAAGTTGTCGGAGAGGGGGGGGTAAGTGGAGCAGCACCATGTAAAATACATGTGCCTTCAGGTACACTAAAACATATATTTGATGCGTCTCAAATGGATAAGTCACCGCTGAACGCTCTGTATTTTTTACGAGGACCCGCAGACCAGGTGCATAATGACCGTTGGGCCAAGTCCTTGTTTAAACGGGGAGCCAGAACGATTAATGGAACGGACACTAATAACGGGTTTTTTATTTTCCGTTCTCAATAACAAAGTAAACTTTACTCTGTCCGCGAGACCTTTCACTGACACAGTGTGCGGCCATTTTTCTCGTCGCCTAGCTCCGCCACTTTTTGAAGTCCAACAAAGTGAGTGTGGATAGAGAGATTTCAAACGGGATGCTCCTATTTTCCCGGATTCGATCGTTGCCAATAGTGCACTACATTTCTCTTTCATTACACTATGGCCTCTATATTAAAGAACGATTTTCCAAAGAGATGTGGGGTGATGCCGGCCTCACTTCAGCGCTAGCATCCCTTTCCTCTACCACAAGAAACACCGTCCTCAAAAGCAGGGTGCACTTAATGAAAGAAAGGCAAAAAAAGCCATATTGAGCCCCGCATTGACCCTAACGAATGTGCCTTTAGTTTCTGAAAAGCTCTGCAGAACAATTATAAAACTGGCAGTAGGAAAATGTCATGATGCAGATTAAACAATATGCCAAGTAGGTCCAGGCCCATGTCGAGAGATCCTCGACGAGAGAAGTCGGCACAGCAGCTCTAGACCTGCAGGAGGGGAGGGGGGATGGCCAGATAAAGCTTTTTTGATTCAATCAACAATCCTTGTCGGAAGTATGGTAGAGAGGTAGCGTATCGGTGAAAGAAATTGCCTCGAAGCCTATCCAGAAGGAGTGAAGAGAACGGGCCCATTCGCGAGCTGGGTACGGTCGCAGGATCGTAAAAATGACGACTTACGGGGCGAAAGAAGAAACTTTTTGGGCCTTTTAAGCGGATTCTTCTATGCTTTCTGGAATGCATGCACACCTTTTCGCATAAGAATGCCTCAGCGATGGGTTATTGAATGGCAGCAATTGGGCTATGCAATGACGTTGTTGGGACCAAGGCCGACGTAGAGATCGACAGTGTAGAAGGCTTGGTTGGTCTACAGACAGGGCAGGTTCCAGGATTCAACCTCCTGACCTCTCGCGTGGCAAGCGGACTTTTCGCTGGTACACTACCACCACTCTATGTAAGAGAAATTCCAAGCAACTTTTAGGGAATATGAAATAGCCTGACATGATTGTTTAAGAGGAATATATAAAGGTTCACAGCATGTGCAAGGACATAGTTTGGCCTAGTGGGGGCACCAGGTATTCAGCAAAAACTGTACAGGCCACCACGTGAAGACCTGTAAACCGAAGTCAGCTCACCTGTACCCCTTTTGCAGTTTCACACAACCCAAAATGGGACTTGTTACTCAACATGAGCTAACCAAAGAAACTAGCGGAAGAGCAAAATGCCCCTCCCAAGCCGAACAGCGCCATAGTGTCTATTCGCTTTTGAAATTAGGTCAGTAAAAGTGGAGGCGACCGAGTCAATAATAAATCGTCCGAGTGAGAGTTGCGAGCCCCGAATTTCCCCTTGACCCTCGCTAGGCTCATGCCTGGAGATAAGATGTGGAGCGCTTTAAATGGCTACTTACCACTCAGCATTAGAAGAAGAAGAAGAGCAATTCGTTCACGCATACTGAAATAGAAGTCGATAGTAATGCAACACGATAAAAACTGGATGAGGTGCGGATTGCGCAATAGTTTTCACGGTAGACAAATTTACTAGTTGCTTTGAACGATACGATATGGCTTTCACTAAGAGGATTGTGGCATTCGGCCCATATACACATAGACACAATGGCGGAAGGATGCCTCGGCCGTCAAAAAGCAGAAACAGCTTTGATGCCACGACCGATCGGCGACGAAAGTGACAAAAGCTGGCAGTGACAGCCCGATAACTCATGGAGGTAAACGGGAAGAATGGAAAAGGTCGTCCAAGAAGAATAGATGAACCTGTCATTGAACTCCCGTAGACCACAATATTCAACGCACAAACACAATGTGCGAGAGCGCATTATAATTGCGCCCTGTCCCACTGGGCTATTCCAAGGAAATAGAACGTCGGGATAATTTCCATCAAATATCCCTACATTGGGGATAAGTGCCGTGCAGGGACTGCCGTCGAACGCCTAGGAAGGTCCATACCACCAGTCATCTTCCTAGATTCTCCCTAACTTTCTACCACTTCATCCCAGTTTTCAAAATACTCCATTTCCCCCTCACCCCCAAAAGTGCCGTCCAGGGAAAAGGGTGGGGAAGAGGGAATCGTAGCGCCTCAAAACAGGAAAAAACCAAGAAAAGTCAACGACCGGAAACATTTCTCTCAAAGGCTGGTGCGGATCCACTCACTGGGGATCCTCACGGCGGCCCTGTCCCATATAGCTCCTCTAGCCGCAGTAAACTAAGGACAGTTGAACGTGAGAGGGTTTCCTACGGAAAGCGCTGTATTGCATTGAGGCAAAGAACTTCCGCTCGGTTTCGAAGAAAGGCTGGAAACTGCTGTCCCCACTTATCTGATTTCCCATCGCATTCTTTTTGTGGTGATTCATTGGGTTTGTTATGATACAGAACGCTGAAGGATGCTGCGAACAGCGCTTCCGTGCATTCTTTCAGGTCAAAGGATTTTCCACTGAAATCGAAGTTCAAATACCACTCGAAAACCTTCTATGTGATGCTTCATTGGTTTTTGTTTTCTCAGAAGTCTTTCTGAGTGTCTACAGGAAAGAGAAGCACTGCGGCGCAGTTCGGCATGATGGGCACCTCTGCTGGTTTCC